CACAAAAGTGCCGCAGGAAAATCTGTCCTCCCCTCATTTTCCTGCTGGTCCTCCTTTCCTTTGGGGTGATTTCTGCTGAAACCATGGATGTGCCTGTGTGCAGGGCTGGCAGGGCTAATGAGCACTGGGTGGGGGTGGGGGGGCGAAATCTGGTTTAGATGCATAGGGAAGCAGAATTGGTTTAGGTGAGCTACCGTTTCAGCAGGCAGCAGCTCCATGGGACAGACAGATGGAGGAGAAAAGGAGATCTTTCCCTCCCTCCTAAATCCCACTGCAGGATTACCATGGAGCTCCTGCCCACCAAAGCTGCAGGGTAGCCAAGACGGCCAGGAGGTTGAAGAGCCCTCTCAAAGCCAACAGTAGCAGATGCAGCTGGGAAGAAGTAGGGGAGGGAGCAGGCAATCCCAGCACACCAGACAGCTTTCTGCCTTGTAGCAGGCACCTGCACAAGTGCATAGCAAGTCTCTTGCTGCCGCTGTGCAACCCCCAGCATGGACAACAGGAGCTGTGCCTTCTCCCTTCCAAAACATGCCAGGATGGCACCAGCAACAGGCAAAGGTAGCAATCTGATCAAGAGCCCCCAGAAGGCCAGCAACAGTACGTGCAGCCGAGCAGAGGGGTGTGGGGGAGAAGCAGGCAATTCCAATGTGCTGTGGGCAGGGCTGGGGCTGGCAATACCTCAGGTACCCAGAAAGATAGAACCAGAGGCAGTGTCCGCCCCTTGCTGGCTCAGCTGATCCACGGGCCATGATTAAGGGGCCGAGTATACCCACCCTTTTCACCAGTGCTTATTTTTGGGGTAGGGCTTATGTTAGGCCCAGCCCCCCACCCAAATCAAGCTAGGGCTTATTTTCGGGGTAGGTTGTATTTTTGGGGAAACACAGTATTCACATCCTGAAATCTTTTAGCTAAGAATTGTCATATATGAGTTGTTATGAGCCATGATGGAGCAGTGGCTAGAATGCAGTACTTCAGGCAATGCTGATTGTCAGCAGTTTGGCAGTTTGAATCACACCACACTCAAGGTTGACTCAGCTTTCCATCCTTCTGAGGTCAATAAAATGAGGACCCAGATTATCGGGGGCAATATGCTGACACTGTAAACCAGTTAGAGAGAGCTGTAAAGCAGTGTGAAATGGTATATAAGGCTAAATGCGATTGCTAAATGCGATTGCTATTATGGCTTATTCTGTTATGAATTATGGTAAATATAAATATTTTGAAGGATGTTGGCAAACATATTTATATTACTGTAAATCTGCTGTCCTTTTCTGCTTGAAGCTTTCTGGGTCTGAGTGCGATAAATCTGGAGGATTTCACACCTGGTTCAATCAGCTCCTATCAGCCCTCAGACAGCCTTCCAAATATCGTATGCTGAAGATGGCCAGTCGGATATATGGATCAAAAGCTTATCATTTCCTGGAGGTAAGAAAGAACACTTTTTCCCTCTTTACCTATTAATCCAATATTGATGGATAGCCAATCTGGATGTTCACAATAATCAGCAGCTTGAAGCAACCACATATCTTTCTGACTATGAATTTCAGAGAGTAGAATTAAGTACAACTGACTTCAAAGAAAAACAGGAGTAGTAGCTGTAGATGTAACAACTATGATAAGCTATGCCTTTGTAAATGTAGAATTGATGATGATCCACTTCCTAAATATGGTTTACTAGAAATTCTACAGGTATCATGTTTTATGTATAGACACACACACACACAATTTTTCAGGCAATGATGCCACGCAAACACCAGGAATTTCATTCTTCTAGGACAGAGTTTCTCAACCTGAAAAGCAATTTTCAGACATGTGGACTACAACTCCCAGAATTCCCTAGCTCTGGGATTATTTTCAACTTTCCAGTCTAGCCTACTGACTGAGCTGCAGCAAACTAGGTGCTGCCATCTAGCTTGGCCAGCAACTAATGTCAACTAGATTTATTGATGATGTGCATGTGATAATAGGGGAATGAATATATTGATATGTCTTCTTTCCTTTGGTGCAGCAATACGAAAAGTGCATAAAAGAGCTATACAATTGCGAATTGGAAAGTGTTGACTTTATGAATGCAAATGAGGAAGTTAGACGGAAAATTAATTCCTGGGTTGAAAGGAAAACAAATGGTAAGATATTGTACGCTGCTCATTGGATTTTCCACATTGAACATGAAGTATAATATCACTGAATGTGTAGTCATTGAGAACTAATGGGAAAGGATAGATGATGGACATTCTACTGCATGAAAAATCAATGAAGTTCAGGGGATTTTTATGGACTGATGTGCTGAGGAATGAGATAAGAGGATGCCTCTCTGAGCATGAAGCCAGTTCTTGTATACTTTAATCTGCCACTTTAAGTGCCAAAAAGGTCATTCATGAATTTTAAACAATATAGAAAGGGTCAGTGAATACGCCCTGGTAAGATGCTGAAGAAGAGAAAATTAACCTATGGTCTGGGGTAGGCCAGGACCTGAATATATCACCAATCTGCAATATATCAGAGGCTCAGTTTCAGGCCTTCAGCCCAATGAATCTTTCTTATCCATGGCTTTAGATAAAGGATTTGCACAGTTGGGTCCAATCTTCTTTTGGACACAGGGAACCCACAAAATGGCTCCGTTATGTCTGAGTTTTTAAACACCCTCTGGTATTATGTGCATCTCTGGTGTCATTCTTGCTTTAAGATATTGTTGTTCTGGGTTTTTTTTTTTACTGTATACTTCCCAGAGTGAGATGGGTGCCTGCATAAATGTGATGAATAAATGAAATCAGGTCATTTTAGGTTTACATTTTCACTCTTTCACTTATCTTGGATTTTTATGTTTTGTGTATTCTTTTCTATTCTCGGACTCAAAAACTGAGTTGTAGAAAGAAGTGATTCATTGACAGTATTCCACCATTTGCTGATATTTTCATTCAATTTATCTTCCTAAAGGTGAGATCACGAATTTCTTTCCTGCTAACTCCATTGACCGATCAACTGCCTTGGTCTTATTAAATACTGTCTATTTCCAAGGAATGTGGAAGAGGCCATTTAATCCAAAAGATACACAAAGAGGAATCTTTTGGACTTGTAAGGTATGGTATATAAACAACCAGGGAAAATCACAATTCTGTCAAACAATTAAAAGTAACAGCCTTGTTGAACACCGTGGGAACACAAAATCTATATATAGTAGGTGGTATCTTGAATTATCAGAGTCTGAAATGAAAAATTGGTATTATATTTGGCCTACTATACTCAACATTTCATCTTGAAATTCCTGATATTGTTATAGCTTTACTTTTAAGCATTGCTTTCTTTGTTATAGGATCAGAGCATGTATGTGGATATGATGACTCAAAAGGGCAGATTTAACATAGCCAATATCTCGAACCCACCAATGACAGTGGTGGAGATGGAATATGAGAATGAAGAGCTGAGTATGATCTTTCTTGTACCAGAAAGCAGCATTTCTACAGATGAGGTGATTTGAGTTTTGAATCTGTATTTTAACAGTATGCTTGGTAAAAGATCTGAAGACATATCCCTAAATTAACATCTACAACTTTTTAAAAATCATAGAATTACAGGAAATGGCGTTTCTAATCCTAAATAATTCTCAAATCTAAGCTTGGATATATATATATATATATATTTCTGATATTGTTTATCAGTATAATAACTAACTGTATGATTTTAAATGTGTCAGTATACTGAACATATTCGTTAGTTTGTGGGCAACAATATACTAGCTTGCAATGTTGTCTAGAGATCAATGTTGCTAGCTATCACAGAGTAGCAGGAATTATTCTAGTGACACACTAGCCAAAATTTGCTGACTAATCTGTCTTGAGGACCTCCCATTATCAATGTGGGGAGGGAGAGAGAGAGAAATAGAAATTCACTATCCAGAATATAGCCTATTATCCACCCCACCCTTCTCTCACTAAGACTGATGATATTACCTAGTTTGGATAACGAAACTTCTGCAAGAAAACAACTAAGCCCAGAGGGCACCAAGGACCTCCCCCCATTCAATTCTGAACTGCAAATATTCTCCTTATCTATCTTCTGTGTCCAACAGTCTTCCCCAAGACCACTGCTATCATGTCTGGTCTCGTGTTTAGTGATATACTGAGAATACTACTTTACGCACAAGAGATATTCCTATCTCTTCTACAACGACCAGTATATTAAATACTTGGCCATGTTGTTAGGCAAGCTTATGCAAAGCTTGAAAAAGAGAGGGAGCGAACTGTTGGGTATACTTTTGTACAATATTTTTCTTTCTCCAATAGTATCTCTAGTGTCAGTATGTGTATATACTATTGAGAATCAATTTTTCTTAGTGTGGTTCTTTTACTCCAACTGCCACCCACTCTTAAGCCATTCCAATAACAATGACCACCATATATGAAAATATGAAGTTCTTGACTCTATGCTGAACTTTGGTCTGGCATTTGGGAAAAGCTGCATTTTGACAGCTGAACCTGCACTTTCTGCCCTTAGTTCCTGTATATTGATGATATGATTTAGGAAAGACATTGCTCTATTGGGTGACATGACTGGATAAGGGGTAAAAAAAGAAATCCTAGATAGAAAAAAAACCTACAGCACATTAATACATTGTATGTATGTCCAGCATTTTTATTTTACTATTCCACTAGGAACAAAAAAACAGCATGCATGCAGTAATCTCTTTCCCTCAGCACTCACAATCTCTGTTAGGTAGACTTGGTTGAGAGAAGAGTCAAGCAGTGAAATCTTTTGAATCTTGGCAATGCTAGCTTTTGCCCTTGATTTCTACAGAGATTACATCTCTCCCTTTCCTGGGATTCCTGATTTTAATCTGAGGCTGGTGGGAATTGGTAGCCGTCACTTCTCATGAAATTTTGCCTTTTGTTTTAAAAGGGCTCACTTTTTCTCCCTTCAGCAAGGAATCTGGATTATTTGCCTTTGTTTACATGTCAGAGAAATCTCTCTTACAGGGAATGCATAAACTGTGAGTGCCTGGAAGCCTATGAGATTGTGAATATCTGGTGTAAGCAGACATATTCACAAACCTGGAGCAAGATAAGCTCTTCCTAGATGCACTGCTCAGCATCTTGAAAAGAAGTAGCATTTCATCAGATAAATTTATTAGATTATGTCAAAATGATAATGTGGTTATTATGAAGTTGTTTGGCATTTTGAAAAACCATTTGTCTGTTTTGTTCTCCCCCACCAATATTTTTTTCCACTCTTGTATTGATTTCTATTTTTCTTGACAGATTATAACGAATCTCACTTATGAACGACTTCAAGAATGGACCGATCCAGGAAATATGAAAAACGTAGCAATTAAATTGTCCATGCCAAAGTTCTCAGTGCAAAATCAATATCCACTGAAAGGTCTGTTTTCAGAAATGGGGGTGAAAAATCTGTTTATTCCAGGCAAAGCCGATTTATCTGGCATGACTGGGAATAATCAGTTAGTTGTGTCTCAGATTTTTCAAGCATTTGCATTTACTGTCAGCGAAGAAGGGTCAGAAGTATCTGGAGCCTCTCGTACAGAGGTAGTTTCTGGGAGTCACTCTGATGTTAAAATAAATAAGCCTTTTTGGTTTGCATTGAAACATAAACGAACCAATGTGACCCTGTGTTTGGGTAGGATTTGTGAGCCAAACTGGAAGGGGCATCCAAAATAACAAATGTCTTTCCAGATGTTGTGAACAGTGGAGCCTTCTATATTCTTAATTCTTTTTCAACTTGGCTAATACCTTGTCTAAACTTATAAGCCCAAAATCGATTTCCTATTTGCCTATCTGGGTCAAAAAAAGCTTTCACTTTGTGAGTCTATCTGCAACTCCTGTTCAGTGCAAAAGTGATGTATCCATAATAAACTTTTCTTATACTGTGCATGTTTGGAATTTCACACATGAAATCGGGAACAATGGGGGAGAATCAGTAGAGTTACTTTGAATCCTCCCGAGAGAATAAACCTAAAGTAAAAGAGTATCCATGAAGATCCTCAATCATCCAGGTCAATTCCAATTGCCTTTTAGAAAAAAACACCTTTGGGACTCAAGACTTTGGATGTTGCTGGGCAAAGGAGGGCAAATATTTATTTGTTTTTTATTTGTTTTATTTGTGCTATTTATTTGTTTTAAGGGAAAAAGTCACCAGAGTCTTCTTGAAAGCTGAAAGCTGACTGCCTGTTGGAGCAGTACATTTGTATAGCTCCAAATTTTCCTTTCAGCTGGATATCACAGAAGGATGGGGTAGGAATATAGAAGAAGAGAAAAAACCCCTTTTCTTTTTCTCTTCATTCCTCTCTCACTCCCACTCCATCTAATTTGATTTTGTTTCAAATTGGCTGATGAAGACTTTTGGAAAACTCAAAAGCATGCATGCCACCTGTGTAAAAAATTGCCCTCTTTTGCTATGGTATGCTTTCGAACAGTTTTTTATGAGATACATCACAATAAAACAATGCTAAATAATAAGTAACCTTTGCTTCTACAAATGTCAGTAGTATTTATATTGTAATAAGGAATTATGGCAGTCAGACAAATGATCAGAATCCAAGCACTGAATTTATTGAAAGCTTGGTTTGAAAGAGGTCCAAAGGTGGGAATTACAAATTGTAACTGATGCAAATGGAATGTACGTGACTCTCTAAATTTGTCTGATGATGTTATTGACATAAACTAATATGTAATAAGTTTTCTGAACAACAGTCAAGATGATTTATTTTGGCTGAGCCACAGTTCATTCAGAAATGCTGCGTGGCTGGTTCTTCCTTTAAAATAGCTGATTTCCTGGGGTTGTGTATGTAGCTTCTTTTTGCTGGTCAAGAAATGTTGCCTGATAGCAGCTTCAAATGTTTCTTTTCCCTCCTTGAGAGATTCAAATGTGGTGGCATATTTCTGTCCACCACTCTTAACTTTTAATCAGGGGAATAGTTGGCAGCAAATAATAGATATAAGTAGAGATAGATAGATGATAGATAAATAGACAGACAGACAGACAGACAGGGGAAAGTAGCGATTTCATCTAAGTGATCTATATACTTCTATATATCAATATATTTCCCTGAGACTATCAGTCCTATAAGACAGGCCAAATTAGAAAACCATAGTTTGCAACTATAGAGTTTTAGTAGACCTTGTGACAGCTATTTCCTGACCTGGTCTACCTCAAAGGACTGATTTCTCCAGATCTCACTGCATATGTTAGGGCTGGAGGCATAGTTGAACAACCCAATGTTTATGTGTAAAGGGAGGCCAGAGAAGAGAATGTGTTCACAGAAGAACTTTCAGCATAGTTGAAAGAAGGAGGGGCTAGCTACAATTTTCTCTCTTGAGAAATAGCTTCCTGCTGAAATCAAACCATGGGCTCTGCTGAATATATTTGTTTGTTTGTTTTTAAAGAGTTTTGCAAAGCTTCTAAATGTTATCAGAATGGAATTCTTATTCATTTCCCCAAGTGGTAGGTTTCTAGCAGCAACAATATATAAGTTGAAGTCCCTGCAGATTGATTGAATGAACCAGCCACATAATGAGTGGGTTTGAAGAGATGAAAGCTAAGGTTTTGCCGGGAAGCTTCTGAATCAGCAAAAGGCAACTCTTATGAAACTCTGTCTATTACGCTACTGTAAAAAAATAAAAAGCCTAATAAAGCTTTATCATGCAAGCACATTTCAGTGTCAGTATGAATGTATGGTTTCCTTGCAAAATGAGTAGCAATTCACTGTATGGACTAAGCCAGGCCTCTCCAAATTTGACAACTTCCTTAAATTCTCGGAGTTGAAGTCCACAAGTCCTGAAGCTGCCAAATATAGAGACCTCTGGACTAAGCTATTCAACTCCCTGCATAAGACAAACAGGTGAAAAAGGCTCAGCAGATCCAAACAAACAGGCATGAAATGTATGCAGTAGTATACAGGTTTCATATCCGTAAGTTTCATAATCTGGCTCATGTCACATATTAGAAAGAGAAGTTTAATCAAAATGATATTTAAGGGTTTTATGCAGAGCTTGAAAACTAAAGTACATACACATCAAATTAAGAGTAGGCATTTCTACTACAATAAAGTAATGGCGTTTGTCTTAATGTTGCCAAAAGACAAGCACAGGGAAGTTGTCACCAAGATTTTTATTGCAATGGGAAAATAATGGTAATTTAGCCTTCCTTACAGAGCAAAGGGATAAGAAGTTTATACAAACAATGGAAGAAGAACTGGATTTCTTTTTCAAAGAGAACAGAAAAGGAGATACCTCACTGCAAAATGTATGGCATATTGCCAAGGCGTATTTCCGTGGGCTAGCTCTAACTTATATAGGAAGGAAAAATAAGAAAAAGAAACAATATTAAAAGACAGAAGAAGAAGAACATAAAAGATTAGAATTAGAATTACAGAAAGAACCACAAAAATAACTTGAAAAATCAAATGGAATTAATAAAACACAAACTTAATAGAAAAAGAAGAACTGGCAAGAAAGATGCTAAAATTTGTGGTTTTTATAAAGAACCAACAGAACTCAATCAGATATTAACAGGGACGGGTGAAAAACTAATTTTAAAAAATGCTGCTCAATAGTTATCTATTGAGCATTAAAATGGAAGGGGAGCAAGTAAAGGAGACAATGATAGTATGTCTATTATACAATAGAGTTAGATAAATGGCAGAAATTGTGGGAGAGGAATTATAAATTAATGATGTCAACTGCATACAAAGAAAATCTTTATAAAATGCTTTTTAGATGGCATTTTTCACCCACAAGATTGGCAAAGATGTTTAAGGACATATCCACAAAATGTTGGAAATGTAATCAGGCACTAGGTTTGTGTTATCCAAAAAATATTGGACAAAAATACATACATGGTTGGAAAAAATGATGAAGCAACCTATAGATTTAAAACCAGAAATATTCTTGTTGGGCATCTTACCAGAAAAATATTATAAAGGAAATACATACTTGATTTTACGTGTGCTAACTGCAGCTAGAATTGTATTTGCACAACATTGGAAAAGTGAAGAAATCCCTACAGAGGAAAACAATTTAAAAAAAATATCAGAATGTGTAGAAATTGATAGATTAACACTCAAAGTTAAGGAAAAGGAAGAAACTGAAAACTTTTTAATGTGGGACTCATTTTACAAATGGCTAGCCAATAAAACAGAAGTTAGAAATATGGAAATATAAGAGAAGGATTAATTTTATAAGGAGGGCTTATTAAAATGGATAAGCTATTATTATTATTATTATTATTATTATTATTATTATTATTATTATTA